TTATAAATAATTATTATGAGTAGTTTTAATTATATAAAATCAGATTTTTAATAATGTTTATGTTGAAAGGTTCATGTACATATAGTTGGGAGGTTTTAATTTAATTATTTGTGATTATTTGTTAACCTTATATTGATTAAGGTTATATTTATTTGTAGGGAGTGTTCAATCAAGGTTCTTGAGATACTTTTTGTGTGGTTTTTCTAACAAGGATCAAGGTACGTTTAGGTGGCTAGATACCTTTAAAAGTAATTGGTTTGAATAACATGTTTTATATGATTTTATTGGTGATTGAATTAAATTGGTTTTGAAATAAATTATGTTTGAAGGTATTTATTTGAATGATTGATTTTTTAAATCATGTTATGAATGGTTTGGATTACTTATCGTATTCAAATAATATTGGGAACTATTGGATATTAAAAGGATTTATTGAACCATTGAATTATTATTATTAATGCTTTATAAGCATGTTAGTAATCCCACTATGCGGATTTGGTTTATTGATAAGGCCTTGGACTTTGTATGACCAGGTCATTCCTCAAGAATAGCCTTGTAATATAAGGAGACTAGCTTGGGGGTGTGCACACTTGGGTGAGGAATTGGATTATAAGGAATTGGTTCTTGTAGGGAATATTTCAAGCGTTAACCCCTAGCTTAAACCCCACTGTGATCATATACTAAAGTACGGTGGCGTCCAAAAGGGAAGAAGATAGAGCAAAAGAGTCGCCAACAAGTTTTAGGAACTTGTAAACCGTTCACAGGGTGAAGGTTACACCCCTTAACGATCCAAGAGATCGTCAACTCCATAAGATCTTGAACCAAATAAGGGTTCGGGGATGAAGGTACAAATCCAACCTAAAAGAGAGTGAACCTGCCCTAATAATAGGCCTCTACTTTGTTCTAATCGTATTCATGTGCGTTTTTCGACTAACATGCAATCAATAGGTTTAACCCTAAACTTGTTTAATCTATGTTGGTTGAATATTAATGCACAAATAAATCTATTATTGGCGATCACTTGAAATTATAATCACATTAACCCTAAACAAGATTATTAATTATCTTATTAAGCGTGATTACAAATACCAATTCCCTTTAAACATGCATAAAAGCGTGATCAAGCAATAACAATAATAATGTATCAAGCAACATAATAATAAATATCATGAATAAAAATTATAATTATAATAATAATCATCATAAATAAAATAATCATCATCAAAATAATAATAATAATAATAATAATAATAATAATAATAATTATAACAATTATAATCATAATCATGTTCATGTTAATATTAAAGCATAATAAAAATAGCAAGATCCTAGGCATGATACTAACAAGATTAATAACAAACCCTAGCATGTCACTAAGCAATAAAAATCAAATCTTTAACCCTAACATGATACTAACATGAATAAATATTAGGAAGAACATAGGAAGCATCGCAGGAATCATAATAGGCATATTTGATATTATAACCTTTTCCCTAAACATGATACTAGAAATATCATAATAACAATCTAAGCATGAACTCTATATCATAACATCAATAAAAACCATCAAAGCACTTACTTTGATGTCTCGTACCTCTTTCTAATAACAAAATACACACGTTAGTAACTTCAATGAATATAATAAAACAATAATTAAATTAAATAATTGAAATAGAGATTTGGGACCAAACCCTCAGAAATTAAACCTTTCACGTCTAGGGCGAAGGAAACTTCGAATATGGCTAGGTGTTTCTAGATCTAATGAATGCGGAATTTTGTATGTAAAAGCAAGTTTAGAAAAAGAGAGAGATGATGAATGATTAAGAGAGAATGAGAGAATTAATGATTGCGAATGAAAACTGGTTGTAGGTCCATCAAAACGGAGTTTTTACGACGTTATTTATAGAAAAAATCAGCCAAAAAGATAAAATATCAAAACAGAGCATCTGGAGCACAAAAAACAGAGCTGGCGCCAGAATTAGGCTATTGGCGCCAGGCGCCAATGCCTGGCGTTTGGCGCCAAGCTTGTTTTTGACGCGCTTTCTCAAATTAGATAAATTTTTCCGTACAGGAGGATAAAATCGTATCTTTTCTTCAAAAATGTTCTTTGATTTTAATTACAACTCTGAAAAGTCAACAAAAGTCAATTTATCAATGCTAATTGAATTAGGAATGAAAAAAACCTTCTAGAAGAATCTAGAAGACTAAAACCATTCCTAATTGCATTAGGAATGATAAATCATATTAGGCCCTCCTCTAGATCATTGGGCGCATATAAGGCTCAAACCGGGCCCAGTTTAGTAAATTGGCCATAACTTCCTCAATATTCATCGGAATTGGGCTTATAATATATCGTTGGAAAGCTCTTGTCAAGCCCCATCCAACTATACTACTATTGGACCCATATCATGGACCAACCAAACAAAATGGATTGACTGTTTTCTTAAAATAAGTTTTCAAAAATAGAGAGAAGAGAAAAGAAATTAAAACTATCCGCAACGCTAGACTTTCCACACTTTCACCTCATTCGATTATGATTCAACGTGAAAGGTACTCATCACTGGGTTTGGTTTTGGGGAGACACAAATTGGTGTCTACAGTTCTTAATAAAGGAATTGGTTTTATTAACTATTATTTTGAATATTGAATCATTGGAATCAGTTTTGGAATAATGAGTTTTGAATTTATTGGATATTGGAATTGGTTTTAAAATCATGTTTGCAAATAAATTGAGTTTACACTATCTTGCACTTATCGTACTTAGCATATTTTGCCAATCCGTATTTCTTATTTAATTTGTTTTGGTTCGCCCTGTTTACCGTAATAGTAAGCAGTGTTGACTATTTTCAGGTGGAGTCATGAATGAGCATATGGGAGTCCAGGGATTTGCTTCACCTAGTTTAGGAATGTTGTCTTGTCTTTATTTTTGAGCACTCATAACAATGTTACTATTTTCATAAGTATTAATAAAAGAAAGTTGAGTTTCCGCTGCAAGTTTTGTTATTGAGTTAAGTATTTAGAGTAGCCTTGCGTAATCACGCGGCGGTAATACGCCCAAGTCTATCTCTACGATATAATTATACGTATTATACTGGTATTTCCGTAGAGGGAGATCTGGGGGTGTTACAATAAGGGTTGGGTGCAAATATTTTGGTAGTGGAAAAAAGTAAGAGAGAGAAAGATAAAAATACAAAATTGCCCATGTGATATATTGATAAACTAAAAAGTAAGTGTGAAAAAACAAGGGTATGTCGGGTATTTGTAGTGTGAACACAAATAAATGTTTTTCCTAAAGAGGAAATGGTGCAATATTTGTGAAACTTCCTAAAAAGGCAAGTGGTGCAATAATAAAAGAACGGAGGAAGTAACTATTTTGTTAAAAACATCCGGCTTTATATTCATTGTATATATTTAAAGAACATCCGTAATATTAATAAAGAGCATGATAATATAATGTAATGAATATTATTTTTATTCAACAAAAAAAGAAGAACATAATAGTATTTTTTTAAAAGAACATCTAGCTTTTCAATCTTTAAATGAATTATTTGTTCCATAATTGATGAGTTTTGGTAATTATTTCCCAATCTCAATTTAGAAATTTGTATATTTTCTCATATTTAATTTCACTTGTTTGAATTTTTTTAGAGAGAGGAATAAAAATTTTAGAGACAGAAATAGAAAATTTATAGAGAAAAAGAAATTCTTCTAATATAAGACGATGATTGATCATTTAGATCGAGTTTCGTGGTGCTTTTAATCATTGTTTTGGTAATGGAGTGATTTTTAATGAATTGAAGGTGAATATGTGGATTTGTTAATCAAAGATTGAAGGTAATTTTGAATGAAATTTTGTATTTATTTTTCTTTAATTGTGTTACTTTAGATTTGAATTAGAATATTTTGTAATCATAAAATTCATTGTTTATTTTTCCTTTTTAAAATTTGATGAATCTGGATATAGATGTTGAATTTGAGAATAATGTGACAAAAGTTGAAGATGATGTTTTTTATAAGATAGTGTTATGTTCATTTCTTTAATTTTTACAAATTCTATAACATGTTCTTTTCACCTTAACTAAATTTTCTTTTCATTTAGCTAAATGTTCTTTACATCTTTATACAATGTTATTTCCACTTTTTTTTGGAACGGATGTACCATGCGGATGATACATCCGCTTCCACGAACCACTAATTGGTCCTTTAATTCTTCGCCTCTTTTACATAAAATTATAATTACATCTCCTCGGCGTAAAATTATGCGCAAAAAAGAATATAGGGTGGACAATTCACTTGCTTGCCCATCGATTAAAAAAAAACTAGGTTATATGTAATTCACCATTACCCAAGATTCTAATGTTGAATGTATGTAACCTAAATTTGTCTAGCCTACATGTTGTATATGTTTTTTCCACATATTTTAGCGCAACGAATATTGCTGAGTGAAGTGGTGAGGTTAAAAATAGTGGTTATGAGAGTAAAGTTCTAGTTTCATTATTCAATCCAAAATAGTATGGGGGAAATTTAAAGAAACTAACTAAAAATGAAAATCAGGCAAACATTGAGATTTGGAATTTCACAATATACACCATATATCTTATGTAAATTATGCAAAAAGTGCAGAAAAAGTCATGATGGCAATTGAAAAAAATGGATAGTGTATGCTAGAGGTGTCAATTCGAATGTCCGGATTGAGTTCAGTGAGATTGATTCGGGTCAAGTGTCCATGTGAGTCAAAAATTTAAATAGGATATATTTATGTCATGCTAACTTTTTTGTGTCCATGTGAGTCAAAATCTATATATTTCGGGTTAGTTTCAGATCGGTCGGTCAGCTAAGGTTTTGATCGTCTAATGTATATAAGTATTTATTTATTTATTTTTCCTAGAATAACAATATTTTCAAAAAACTATAATAATCACATTCCTTTTTTTAAGGTAAAGAGAAAGACACTAACCTTACGTCAATCCTCACGATTTTTTTTGATTCGGTATTTATGTGTCATTCACCTTGAGAGTGAGGGGGTAGAAAATACCCATGGGTTATAGTCCATACTCCATAGTACTCCGTATTTGGCCTATTTGCCATCGAATTATCGAAGTACGCTAATCCTAATCTCAAGTACACCGTCAAAAAAAAAAAAAAAAAAAAAAAAATCTCAAGTACACCAAGTTAGATTCAAATCTTATAGTTTTGAAATTTCATCAGTCAAATTTTCCATCTTTTGACTGCTATTTCTTTCCTTAAATCGAAACCCCACCTGAATTCACCGAAATTGCTCGACAATTATGGTGAATTTCAGGATTTTGAATCATGGGTTTTCCTTAATTTTGTGTTTTATATTATTACAATCTTCAATTGGGTGTATAGATGCTAAAAAGTCCCAATCTACTGATGAAGCGTATGTAACGTTGTTGTATGGAGATGAATTCGTTTTGGGTGTCAGAGTTTTGGGCAAATCAATTCGAGACACTGGCTCTAAGAAAGATATGGTGGTTTTGGTTTCTGATGGTGTTTCTGATTATGCCAAAACCCTCCTTGAGGTAAATATTGTTTTTTTTTATTGAGCGACAAAGGGTAGTGATGTAGACGAGATTTGATTCGGGTTTCTCCTGAGACTATAGTGTACAGCAATGATTAATTGGTTGTTACTTGATGAAATTTGTTATATTTGTGATTGATTTGATCAAATGTCTGCTTATTTTGTTTTGTATTTGTTTTGGTGTAATCAATCCAACAGTTATTGGTTTGGTTTAATGAAAGCAATGGCTTTGTATGTATGGTGGGATACTGGGATGAATGAATTGGAGTTAATTTTTCATGATTTAGGGCTACTTACCAGTGATTCAAGTTTGAATATTAGCTGTGTATATATGGTAGGATGAATAAATTGAATTTGATTTTTCATGTGTAAAAGCTAGAATGTTGTTTAGGGCGACTACCTACTGAATTAAGTTCGAATCTTTAAAATAGAGTTGGAGAAGCCGGATATGATTTTCGATTTGTTGAATTATCTATCAGCTTTTTGTGGGTGTCATTTTTTTCCTGGACTATGGTTCAAGCAGCTTGCTTTGGATTGGATGGTGAAGGTGATAAGAATATTATAAATTTGACTTGTTGTGGACAGGCAGATGGCTGGATTGTAGAGAAGATATCTTTGCTGGAGAATCCTAATCGTGTTCGACCAACAAGGTTTTGGGGTGTTTACACAAAGCTTAAGATATTTAACATGACAAATTACAAAAAGGGTGATTTGATTTCTTAGCTATCATACTTTTGATCATCTGATTCTGTATATGGTTTTCCATTACTATGCTTGTTCTGTGTCGGTTTCTTGATTGCTGACTAGAAAAACTTGTGTGTTGTGCAGTTGTGTATCTTGATGCAGATACAATCGTGATCAAGAGCATTGAGGAGCTTTTTAGATGTGGGAAGTTTTGTGCTAACTTGAAGCATTCTGAAAGACTGAATTCTGGCGTCTTGGTTGTCGAACCATCTAAAACGCTTTTTAGCGACATGCTCCAGAAAGTTAGTACCTTGCCTTCTTATACTGGAGGTAATAGCTCTTCCTGTAACCTTTTAATATTCAGCATGTTTCAGAAGTTTCTGCTTATGCCGTATGGACATGATTTGGTCTAGATTTTGGCTTAATAGTGGTCTCAACTCCAGCAGGCAATTTGTAGGCTATTGTTGATTTATCTGCAGTTATCTTTGGAAAGATTAGCTAGACACTCATTTACATTTTGTAGCAAAAAGAACTTTTAGTCTATGTTGCATGGATAAGACGAGGACATAGGTACATTACCATACATAGGAAAATTGAAGGATTTTAAAGTTGAATGTATTAAAAATATGTGGGTGTGTGATTGGGGAATATCTCAAAGTTAAACTAAGTCAATTCTCACTTTAATTAATACAAGTAATACTACGTATTTAATTGAGAGGAAAAATAACAAATAGGTCCTTTGTATAACTTGTAAGCTAAAACTAACTTTGAAAATAAGAAACTTCCTAGAACATAATCAAAGTTACACTAGGAAGTAGGAAACTAATTGTTAGTGCCCTTTTCTACTACACCTATCACAAACTATAAAGTAATAGAAAATTGACAAAAAAAACAGGCTCGGGGACACATTTTTTTACTAAACACTTCACACTTCGGGTTTTACTGCAGGGCTGGTTTTTCATTATTATCAAAGTGTCTAAGGTGTTTTGGTATTATAAATTTATAAGTATCAAAATGCGATACACTACCTTCTAGATTTTTTTCTTTTTCTGCAGCTTAGCTTGTAGTGTTACAAGCTTTAATTTGAATTCAGAATTCTTTGTTGAAGTTATATACTATATGTTCATTCCTTTGGCTACTAGACACTTATACTACGTAGGAATAGTGATCAAAACATGCACAAACATTGGTGTCAAATGTCAAATGAAGGGTTTTTTTTTTTTTTTTTTTTTTTTTGTTGAAGATGTTGTAGAATGTTATGAGCTATGTGTGTAGATGTTAGGTGTTTACACCACCAATTGAAATAGAAAACTTGGCTGCAAGGAGATTCTTTACTTCCTATTCTGGACTGTATATTGTTGGTTGCAGGTACCTCTTTAAATGAAATAAAAGGGACCTTTTTTCCTATACATTTTCAGCCCTTAATTATTCCCCTCTTTCAAAGTTTTGCTTTGCTACATAGCTCGATTTGTGCCTTGTGTATAATTTTTTAATTTACAACAAGACTGCTCCAACAAGTCCGATTAGCTCACGCATAAATCCACAGAAGTCAAACATATGAATATATAAAGTTCGATATATATATATATTAAGATAAATTTTTAATCTATATGTCAAATTTTAAAACATATCATCGATACAAAATTAGTTAGGAATTGATGTGTTTTTGTGATGATTTAAACTATATAGTAGGCATGTAATGACTAATAATAATAACATTGGTGAAAAATATTTCTTGACCCGTAACCTGAAATAATGACCCTGTTCGAAATGACTCGTGACTTGATAGATCTACACACAGTAATAAAATTATATTAGATTGTAAAGTATATTGTTTTAATTGATTAGAATATATTATAAATAATGGATGTGGTGCATTTTGAACTAATTCCCTAGCTCCAAAAAAATACTATGATACAAAAAATAAATTTATATGATAATTTATGAGTGTATACATACGAAATATTAATACTTTATCGAAAATAAAACTCTAAATTAACAATCTTATCCTAAAATTCTATCCAAATTTGATTAAAAATAGAATTCTAAATTAACTTTTTTATCCTACAAATTGAATTTTATATAACTTTATCCTACGTGGCGCGACACTTGGCGAAAAGTTCGAACGCCAAGTGTCGCTATTTCGTAGCCTGACTATATATATATATATATAGGGGAAGGCTCTTGTGAGAATTTTTCTTATGTGAGAATTTTTCATATGTGATAACACTCTTTATGTTCTAAATTTTTACTCGTATGTTCTAAATTTTAAATCTGATGTTCTAAACTTTTTCTTAGGTGTTCTAAATTAAATCAAATGTTCTAATTTAGTACTCACATGTTCTAAACCATAAATTAGTTAAGTTTGATGTCATAAATTTTAAATAACTTGTTCCAAAATTTTAACTTATATGTTCTAAATTTTAAAACGTGTGTTCTAAGATTTTTAATTATATGTTCCAGATTTTAAAACGTATGTTCTATTTTTTTTTACACGTATGTTCTAAATTCTTTACTCACACTTTCTATATTCTATATCAGTTTGTTCTAAATTTTTATTCACATGTTCATAATCTTAAGTCAGATGTTCTAAACATATTACTCACACAAATGTTCTAATTTATTGCTCATATGTTCAGAATTTTAATTTGAGTCACATGTTCTAAATTTTAACTCGCATGTTCTAAATTTTTACTCACATGTTCTAAAATTTTACTCACATGTTCTAAATTTTAAATCAGTTCTCATATAAGTATGAATTCTCACATATGGACCTATTCTCACCGGATCCCTCCCCTATATATATATATATATATATATATATATATATATATTTATTTATTTATTTATTTATTTATTTATTTTTTTTGTTATAAATAAATCTATTATAGAAAAACAAAGCTGTTTGTTTAAGATATGAATATGGCCAGTTAAATTTATTTTATTTTCTCCTATATAAGCAACCTCCCATGTCCTATAGAAACATTTACGGCCTGTTTGGTAGCCGGTAATGAATTGGAGTAATGAGAATGAATTTTAAGTGTAATTAAGTATGGAAAATTACCAATAATCTCCATGGGAATACAATATCATCCCCTAATCATGTGTTTTCTTCAAATTTTTCTATTATTATCCATTACCACTTGAGAGGTGGAATTAGATGGGATTGGAAATTTATGAAAAAATTAGAGAACTTGGGGGGTTATCTTGAGTGATCATGGCAATAAACATGGATTTTCTTTCTGAAGTTACATATAAGGTCATTTCCATTACCATTACTTATAACCAGTAACCAAGCGGGGCGCTAATCCCCCCCTCTGAGCGTTGAGTTTGGAGATTATTGTTGAACTTTTTCCTGTGATATAGCACAAAACTGTATGGGGTGATGCTGTATACACTTTGCAATTTTTCATTCTTAAAAGTGGTTTTGTTGTTTGTAACATTTCTGACTTACATGGTTATTTTAATGTCATGAGATTATTGTTTTCTACAATTCTTGGATGTTGTTTATTCTTTTCACTCCATCGATATGTAGGCTTTACCACTTCACTGGTCACTTATAGTTTGCAGTTATTTATTCCTTCCACTTCCACTGTTTTTCTTAGGGGATCAAGGGTTTCTGAATTCATATTATGCTGGATTTGCCGATGCACGTTTATTTGATCCTAATCTATCAGCTGAAGAGTTGAAGTCTAGACCTGTTCCTGAGATGGAACGTCTGTCTACTCTCTATAATGCTGATGTTGGTTTGTACATGCTTGCTAACAAGGTATTCTTATTCTCTAGAAAGATATCAAATGTATTGCTCTTGATTCTTATCTATTTTTGTCTACGTTCTTGGCTAAATGTTGTTTGGCATCCCCCCCTAACGTGGGGTCACCAGTAGCATTGAGGTTTTGGCTTATCTTGGGCAAATGCTTATGTTTTTATTCACATTATTTATGCTATTAGAAGATTCTGACCTATTTGCATTGCATACGCAGTGGATGGTAGATGAGAAAGAACTTCGTGTTATTCATTATACTCTCGGTCCCCTGAAACCATGGGATTGGTGGACAGCTTGGCTGGTGAAACCTGTTGATCTCTGGCAGGTATATGCATATGTTTCTTTCTTATCTCTACTATGTATGTCTTTTTCTCACTGTAGTCCATAGTACATACTCCATACGCAACGATGCAGTCTGTTATAATGTGCATAATCCTATTTTTCCTCCTCCCCATGCCTTTAGTTGTCATTTCTCTTGTTAATTCCTGGCTTTTAAACATATAGAGAAAGGGCCTAATAAGAAAGGACCTGATAGCTTCTTGTATTTAATTTTAGAATGATTTATGTAGTCAATTTCACCAAGTGGATCTTTACTCAATGGGTTTGTTTTTGTGGATTTTATTTCAACAAGTTGAATTTAATGCATAGCTTTGCAGGACATTAGGCAGAGGGTTGAGGACTCACTACCAGGAACTGGGGGAGGAAGAAACCCTCAAGATGAATTTTTGGTCAAAGCTCTATTTCTGCTTCCTTTCATTGGTCTCATATTCCTGTACTACCGCTCTTTACTTCAGGTATGACTGGATCAACCTGATTTTATAGAACAAAAATGATAATATAATTGGATCTTGATATAAAATAAATTTTGTTGTAGGCCTTCGAGTTCTTTGGTTCACTTTGTAGGCCATCATTTTGGGACCGTATGAGACACCTTGCTGTCAGATTAAGAACAGGTGTTCTTCCATTTACGGCAGGCTCTTCTACATCTACCATGAATTCCAAGCAACAGGTCTGTCTCTCCTTATTGTTTGTATTTCATATTTGCAGGCCTGAATAAGTTATTAGAATGAAAAAGTGGAAGATATGAGCTGTATCATATTGCATTGATGCTAAGTCGCTCACTTTCTCTCATTTATGTCATATTTCTTTGCTTTGATGTTTAAGCAGCTCTACAGTGGTTTGCTAGCCAAAGTACCTTGGTTTCTAGGAGGAATGTCAATCTCTGTGTGTCTTCTAGCTGTGGTTATTTCTCTTGGACTGGCTCTTCTAATCGTTCCACGACAAGTGCTTCCCTGGACTGGATTGCTACTTATGTATGAATGGACTTTTACAATCTTCACTCTACTCTTTGGAGGTTATTTACGGCTTATTTATCAGTGGGGAAAAGTCAACGCTGTCCAAGCAGGATTATATTCTTCTGATCCTGAATCATTGGACTATGATTATGGAAAAGGTATGTAGTCACTGCAACCATTTCCCATTTCCTGAATGGCAGTTGGTTCTCATGGTTTTCTGGCTCTTGATTGTCTTAGGTCATCAGCGACAGGTGTTTTCTTATGATGCTGCAGTGCTGTATTATGGATTGGGAATGGCTTTTCTAGCAATCGCAGTACCATCATTGCCTTATCTTTTTGGAATTACTGCTTTGTTTGTGAGGTATGTTGCGTATCAGAAGTTATGTTATGAGCATTGATCTTGAAGAAATTTCTTTAACGAGTTTGAATATGTTCATGGTTTTATTATCTGGTTTCCATTTCTTTGTTTGTTGATAATTATTTTAGCAATTATAGACTTTTGATTTACATACTTCTTTCAATTTATGGATTATGTCTCTGAGAGCTGGATAACAAGAGGCCTATGATTGTTGAAATATCCCATGCGTACTAATATTGCCAATCTACACACTCTCCTTTCTCTTTGCCTTATAATTGTGTATCCAGGGTTTTGAACATTTGCTTTTGGTATAGATTCTTCACTTTTTAGCCTTTTAGGACTAAGTCCTAAGTAAGAGGCTGAACGAATTAGATCATTTTCTCATGCTAAAGTACCTGTAAGAGACCCAAAGGCTAACAGGGCCACATGGAAGACTTTGTTTTCTACAAGTCTCTTGAGCTGTTGTAAAAGTCGGTCAAATGTAATTGATAGGAATTTTATTTCAGCCCATTGAAACCCATGTGAGCATGTACGCTAAGAAATTGTCTGTTAGGAGAAAGAGGTAGTTGTTGTCATATAATGCATTTGCCAGTTGGTATTTCCACATTGGTTGTCTTGTACTACCAAAGAATCACCCTCCCATAGTCAACAACCCATAAGGTTAGCACTTCACTTTTTTTTTTCAGACCTATGCCCAAATTGCTCATTCATGCTAATTATATGCTGACAGTCAACTCGAAGGGGTTTGTGAGTTTGAAAATATGAAATTTTGTCTGTGTACTGCAAGATGAACGATAAGTATCACATGAAGGATTAAATAATTTTCTCCTCTATATGACATATTTCATACATGCCCCCCCCCCCCCCCCCCCCAAAAAAAAAAAAAAAAAATTGCAATAGAAAAAAAAAATAGTAACGTAAACAAATAAAAGAAAAGAAATTGAGGAAGCCTGCCAGCATCTTGACCACCTCATACTCTACCTGCTGGATTTCACCTGGTCGGCTGTTCCTGTTGTTTCCGTGTAAAGTTCATACCTTTGAACAATGTAGTAGTAAATTTTAAGTCCTTGATTTCCCACAGTACCATATCTGTTGCTTGAATATAGAATTCTATGAGCATGATGATAGATAAACTGGAAATTTGCAACTTGTGACTTGTGAGGTTGCAAGCAGATAAGGCATGCCGGTTCTTTTGATATTAGATTCAGATGGTAATTTCTACATATCTAACACATAATTTTTTCCTTTGCAGACTAGGTTTGATGGTTCTAGGAGGTATAGTTTTGGCTGCTTTCATGGCATATGCATCAGAACACCTTGCTATTCAATCCTTTTTAAAAGGGCTTGAAGACCGAGAAACATCATGGTCTAGGCACACATGTTGGTAATGTCAATTCGATTAATTTTTTTTTTCCTCCTGTAAGTTAAAAATTTTGATTGTTCCCCAGTATTTAATTTGTGTAGAATATATCGAGGGGGAGTTTTAGTACGCCCCCCTGCCTAACTTGCGTGTTGTTGTAATCTAGTAGTTTCAGGCAAAATGATTACAAACTGTAGATATCTCTGCTGCTTTTTTTGTTGTTGTTGGTTTTCAGATGTACATGACTCAGGTGCTAGAATTTCTGAGCTACTCTTATCAATCTTAGCTGTATTTTCTATATTCTATTATTCTTCGCATTTTCGAATTTGTTTATGGGAATTTGGTGGTCTATAGCCTGTAAATTGCATGGTTTTAGTTTGTCTCTTGATTCAGTGCAATATTATCAATGGTGTCTAGCAGTTGATGATGCTTAAACAGCTTTACTAGCTGTGTTGCAAACCCTACATCTTTTGTAAAACTTGAAAATTTTCAGTACAGACTACTAGTTTACACTTGCACAGTGCTTCATAGGAATAATCCCAGATTTCATCAGTATTAAAATGAGCAATAACCTATTAGTCTCGTGCATGTCATGGCATTGTATCGACTGAATTAACTGATAACTTGTTAGTCGACTGCATATATCATAGCATCATATATAGATTAAACATAGTTTTCTTGTGCTTTCGTTACTTGTATCTTAACTACTCCGTATATTTCACCAACAGTTATATTAAGTTCTTGTTCTTCCCTGCTTTCATCAACAAAAGTGTCGTCCATAATGAAGTTTTACTTGTTCTTCATTTGGGCTGCTCCGGGTGTATAATAGACCTTGTTGTACGTAGGATTGAGTTTGCACTCTTGCTCATCTCTATAGATCCAATACCCTGAATTACAAACACAAGTTTGAGTTTCTATCATTTGAATACAAGGAAAAAGAAATCAATCATTACTTCCAACTTTCTGAATTATAGGGAGATTGATTGGAATCTAAATATACAAATAAAAAATTTAATTAGAGGAAGTATCTTGGGAGTAGTTGGGACAGTTAAAGATAGATTAGAAAATTAAAGATTATTTGGAGATCAAACCTATGCATAATAATTTTAATAAAAATAAACCAAAAAAAAAAAAAAAGGAACTTTTAGTATACTTCCACTCATTGTATTTTTATAAAGGTTGTTAAATCTTGTATCACGCTTATCCACTTGAAATTTAAATGATATAAAACCTAATAAGTTGGTCAACACTTGAATCAAAAAAATGTTGTATAATCAAAGAAACAACTGTTACAATTGTCAATTTGTCATTAATAATAGAAGCATAGCTTTTTTTTTCATATGTTGGTCCACTAATAATTGAAATTAAGCACACTGATTTAGTATCCGTTCCAAGTTTTGCTCCCATCAGTGGTTTTTCTAATGAATTGATAAAGTACATCGACGGAATTTTATCATCACCTCTTAATTAGGGTCCGTGTTCTTCAGCTTAATTTCAGTTCGGATCAGTTTAGTTCAACTCCAATCAGTTCATTTCAATTTACCTCAATTCAGTAAATCAGTACAGACCCTTAATCATTACTTTAACTTATACTTCTTACATAGTACGGAGTAACTAACATGTGAAAATGTAAAATGAGGCAAATCTAACAAGATTGCACATATTACTATTCTTTTTCTTTAGTGTAAATCACAAATAAAATACTTACAGTATAAAAAAGGTGTCAACCAAAAAGAACATAAGTATAAGCTAGTTTGAATAAGTATAAGCTAGTTTGAATCCACGTTTTGTCATAATCATGATTAATGCAAGAACGTATGCGGATAATGTAATAATGCAAAACCTATAGGATATCAACTGATTGATTTGGGGTGTAATAATGCAAAACCTATGTAGATTTCAACTGATTTACCAATTTACAATATGGATATGAAAAGTGATTGAGCTACCATGCATAGTAAGACTCCTGGACACACCACATACCACATAATATGAACGTAAGTCAACTTTAATATTTGCACCCCAAAAAAAAAATTGCAAATAATTCCCTAATAATTTCTACCAGCCAAATGACAACTTAATTTTTTAAGTAATAAATACAAATAAGACTACTAAATTTATAATATGAAATGGACATTAGTAATGCAATCATACATGTAAAATAGTATTGCTAGAAGTTGAAATCTAAGGTCAGCATTCCATTATTGAAGTTTAGGAAAACCTTTCAATATGCAGGCCCAATTGCTTTGTTTTTGTTTTTGTTTCATAATAATAATATAAAAAGGGCACAAAAGGACTTGGCAATTATAAATGATTTAAACCAATAGTCAAATACTTCTTCTTTTTCTATTTAGTTGACGCGTTTGATTTAGACACATATATTAAGGAGAGGAGAGATAGTGAGAGAGAATGAAAAAGCAAGTGGGGTAGCTTGTAAATACAATGTAAAAAATTTACCCCAAAAGGAAACTTGTCAAATAAAAAAAACAACCTAAAAAGAAATATGTATCAACTAAAAAGAAACGAAGGTCGTATGAAATATGTTATACTAATTCGAGACAAATACTAATATTTTGCATATATCAAAACCTTCCACATGTTATTATAGAACTTACTTTGTAGCCGATAAATGTTAACATTAATCTTTATTTTAAGGTTTTGTTCTCTTCATCAAACTCTTACGAAGTAAACTTATTTTTCAAAGCCTAACACTTTGTTTGGATAGGAAGAAATGGAAGGAAAAGAAGAGAAGAGAAATGGAGGGGGACAAAATCTCTTGTTTGGGTAAAAGATTGGGGGAAGGAAGGGGAATGAGAGGGAAGGATTCATTTTCCCTCTCTCTTTAATAACCATAATCTCTCCAAAATTGGAGAGATTTGGAGGGAAAATGGAGCTCACCTCTCCCTTCCTTTCTTTTCCCTTCCCTTCCTCCATTTTTCCTCCCCTTCTTTTTCTTCCTTCTTTGCTATCCAAACAAAGCGTTAAAGTCAATATTAATAAACGTTTTTCATAGTTCATTGTGTTGAGTCAATCCAAGTATCCAACTTATATGTTGATCTAGCCCATGCCTAACTCTAGTATGATTAAGTAAAATGCGAGTAGTGATTTTTTTTTTTTTTTTTTTTTTTGTAATAATAAATAAGCACCTAGAGTAGAAAATTAAATGTTGAAAAATTCAGCACCACAATATATTATAAGAAGTTTATATAATTATATTGACTCTCTCTTTTTCTTTTTCTTTTTTAAAGATATTAGACTTCTTGCATGACTTGATGATGTACAAGATTCAGTAATATCTAAGGGAGTATTCAAGAATATACACAATTAAAATAAAAATTATGGCGTGCACAGCAAGTTAGTTAATCGTCATTGATTGACCAACTAACATGTTTAATGATGTTTCTATCAATTTAACACAACACTCAATGTACATGGACAATGATGTTGCCTTACGTCCAACAAATGACAGTGCAACATTGAAAAATACCGCCCAAGAGAAAATAATGACAATTAGGGTAAATTATATTGTTGGGTGATTATAATGTCAATTGTACACACAATAACCACCTTGTTATTCAATCAATTGAATGACAATTACTTTTACGACTTGTTCAAAAGAATTTCATTAGCAGTGGCGGATTTTAAAACATTTACATGTAAGATTAACATATACGGAGTAGTAGTAACAACTTTACTTATACCAAGTAAGATAAACATATACGGAGTAGTAGGAACAACTTTACATTTACGTGGGCTGATTGACCCCAATATAATCTTATGAACAAGTCAGGAACAACTTTACATTTACGTGGGCTGATTGACCCCAATATAATCTTATGAACAAGTCTAACCATGATTGGAGTTACAAAAGAGATTCGACCTAAAACTTGCCTGAAAGGCAAAAATGTACATACTTCTACCAAGTTATATATTAATGAGGAAATCTCATTGTAAGTTTATCTTTACCAAAAAAAAAAAAAAAATAACTACATTAATGTTAACATAAATTTTTATATGTGGTCGGGGTTACCAATAAGAGGAGTTCTTATTTTGGAGTTACTTATATAAGTAACCCTTGAGGCCTTGACCGGCTGATTAACCTATATAAGTAATCTCTGATCGACTTAGTAACCCCTATAAGTAACCCTTGACCGACTGATCGATCTGAGTAACCCCTAAATAAGTAATCCCTAATCGACCGACTTAGTAACTCCTACAAATAACCCCTGACTGACTAATGAGTAACCCCTGAATAAGTGATCCGGTCATACGGTGTGGCCAGCCACACAGCCCTTGAATAAGTAACCCCAATCATACGATTTGTAATATCAAAGAGTAATTTCTTACCGCCAAATAATACTATATATGTTGTATAAATTGAGATGAACTTGTGAAAATAATCTAGTTTGGTATCAAATACCACAACTCACTATTGTGATTACGCGACAACTAACATTTACTTTTGCCGAGCATACTCTAAGGGCCTGTTCATATTTACTGAACTGAGCTGAACTGAACTGAATTGATTGGAGCTGAACTGAATTGAACTGAACTGAACTGATTGGAGCTGAACTGAACTGAAAAATTAAAATGCATAAAACTGAACTGAACTAAACTGAACTTAACTGAATTGATTAGAGCTGAAATGAACTGAACTGAACTGAACTGAATTGAATTGAACTGAACTGAAAATAAGTAAATATGAACAGACCCAAAGTTACACATTAATCTACTCTCTAAATTCCAATCAACTGAAAATTAATAAGGAGATTTTTATTCAAAGTTACACCCTCCCCTACTCCGCATTCTCTTAATAGTTAATACTTTGTTAGAATCAGATTCTTCTAGGGAGGAAAATGTTTCACATTCCATGAATTGTTTTTAAAAATAAAAAATAAATTAAAAAAAATAAAAAAAATTGTTTATCCTAAAGTAAGGTAAAGAATTATTGTTCTAGCTTAATTAAACACTTATTTGATTCCTTATTGTAGGCCTATTTTTTGATAAAACGTACAGTTGGCTCACACCAACTAAAACACACCAAACCAAACCCTCAGAAAGTAGCAAGTTGCATGTTCTAGATATTAGCCGTACTGCATATATTCATGATTTCATGTACTGCCAAAGTAACAGCCTTAGACAATGCTTTTCCACAAATATGGAGATTCAAAAGTAAAAGCATCTTGTTGAATTTTTTTGTTTTGGTATAACACTTAGCATATCCTAGATTCCCTTTCTAGAGTCTTGTTGAAACTTGAAAGTATTTTTGAAATTTGATACGGAGTACTTCGTATTATTTGACAACTTCTAATATGATACGATTTCATGTTTCT